ATCACCCTTGCATGCTAATTAGGTTCTCTAGCTGAAGCCTCGTTCTGAGTCGGCCAAGAAATTGGACGTGAGCGTTTCCTTATCCAGAACATTATTATTGCTCGTTTATTTAATTTATGTACATTTTTCACTTGTTTTTTTTTTCATAATGTTGTTTATAAATAAATTTTGCACACAAAGAAAGTCAATTGTCCCAATTCAGTTACACTTTAATGTAGTGAACGATTAATCAAAAGATATGACGTATTCAGTACTTAGTGTGATTGGCTTTATGATTGAAGGTTACGCCCTAGACTATTTTTACTGCTTTGTAATTGGTTAGAGTTTTGAAAATGAATAAAGAGAGTTTGAGTTGGTCTTGGGGAGCACAGCACGATAGACGCAGTAGAGAGAGGGGAGTCCGGGAGAGACTTGGGGCCAGCCTGGACGCAGTCTAAGAGAGTCTTGGGTCAGCCTTGTGATAGTCTTGGGGACTTTTCCCCAGGGCGCTGTGTCTTATAGAGTGCTCGATTGACCGACTAAGACGAGAGTTGAAACGTATTTCGTTGTGTGTGTCTTATTTGACTGAAAAGTTAAAGTGATTTTCCCTATCCCGCACCTCAAGGGGACGAGATAGAGAGACGAGACGAGTTTCCCCCCTGACAAGTGTGGAGAACCCGAGAGAAAAGAATTTCCCCCTGATAGGACTGTGGTACAACCAGGTTGTCAGCTATTAACCACCAGCAGTCTCAACATCTACTGACCGGAATTTCTTTCGTAGACGCTCTGTATATGTCAGTCCTGTGACTGGCTGACCCAAATAAAAATGCTGTCCCTCTTTTTGAAGTACCATGTTCTTGCCAATTATGATGAAAATTTGAGCATGACAACATCAAGCCTCTGGAGCAAGATACATATATATTGTACACTACTGTCCGTACAAAAGTCGATGGGCGGGAAATATCGTGCAGTGCACGAGTTCATTGTATCATTCCACCACATCCCTTGTTATTGGCTGCCTAAGGGTTCTATTTTTAGTACATCCCTCGTAATTGGCTGCCTTGGGGTTCTATTTTCAGTACATTCCTTTTAATTGGCTGCCCAAAGGTTCTATTTTTAGTACATCCCTTGTTTTTGGCTGTCTAAGGGTTCTATTTTTAGTACATCCCTCGTAATTGGCTGTCTAAGGGTTCTATTTTCAATACATTCCTTTTAGTTGGCTGCCCATAGGTTCTATTTTCAGTACATCCCTTGTAATTGGTTGTCTAGAAGTTCTATTTTCAGTACA